CACGGGTGGCCTGGAAAAGGTGTGTGTCGTTTCAGGGGTGCAGGCAGCCAGGCTGAGGGGACACTGAAATGGGAGCTGGGCAGAGAACACATTAGCCAAGTCTGTACGGGCAAAATCTCTCCTGCAATTGATTGGGTGGAGGTCGTAATTTTAGTTACGTTGGGGATGGGGGATGGGGGCCCAGCGGCCTGGTTCCTTCTTTTCCCCCCTCTTCCCTCCTCCCCCGTGGCCTCCCCTCCCTCCTCCCTGTCATCTCCCCCCTCCAGATTCTCCGTGGATGTGGTCCCTCCTGCCCCACTGAGGCAGGCGAGGGCTTGGGACCTTAGCAGGCAAACAACACAATTACGGCCTTTCCCGCAGGACCCGTGGGGTGCCGTGGTCCCCGAGGGGGTGCCCTCGCATCGACTCGGTGTGTGGCTCCGATTCACGGGTGCCTGCACGCAGTGTTACCGTGCGCTCCGCCGGGCAGGCTGATCAGCAGGGAGCAGGGCGCCTCAGTTCGCCCACCCCGTGTCAGCGCCGCGCGCCCTGGCCTGGCCGTAAACTCGGCGAGCTCCCCAAAAACGGGGTGCCCGGGAACGCCACCCTGGAATGTATGCAGGTCACAGCTCAGACCAGAGCCTGAGGAGGTCCGGGTGGGAGTCTGGGGCCACCCCAGGCAAACGCGCCAGCGACGGCCCCGCATATAACACTCCATGCTCATCCCCACAAGTGCCCTCCCCCATGCCTGTCACCCCCCTTCCCCTGCCCCCCACCCCCATTCTTTTATTATTATGCACGTGTGCTGGGGCCCACAGATCGGGGACAACTGCCACTGCTATGTATGGTTCCCGGGAGGAGGGAGCACACCGAGACGAGACACCGAGGTCACGGGGCCACCCGGGGCCACCCCGGAGGCTGGGGCGGGGCCGCCAGGGGCCTTGAGCATGGTTTCCACCGGCAGGTGTGGTGAGGCAGGGTGAACAGGCGTAGGACTGTCGGCCTGAATCATTGTATTCAGTCGTCCGGGGAGGTGTGTGGAGGGGGAGGCGGTGGGTGGAGGGGGAGGCGTTGGCCGCCTTGCACACGGCACGGCTCCCAGGCCAGGCACTTGCTGTCACTAGGAACCAGTCTGGCCTGGGAGGGGCAGCCTCTTCAGGGCCTGCGGATGTCAGCATCAGAAATACAGAAAACCAGGGGCGCCCGGCTGGCTGGGCCAGAAGAGCATGCGACTCTGGGTCTCCGAGTTGGGAGTTCAATCCCCAACATTGGATGGAGAGATTACTTAAAAAAAGGGAAAATACAGAAAACCAAAAGGCGTGAATGATACACCGTGTTGGCTGTACAGAGCACTTCCTGTTGTAGTTCAGTGCGTGAATGACCGTGGGCGCTCGTCTATGCAGTCTGCTGTGCTTGGAGGTGGGGATGATCCCCAGGCTCGGGCTTTTACCAGGAAAGCTGTTAGGAACATTCCTATACGTGCCTTTGGTGGATATATATTTTCATTTCTTTGAGTTATGTGCCCAGCAGTGAAATTCCTAGATCATAGGCAGGGGTGCATGGTGCTTTAAGAGCTATTACTGCACTGTGTTGGGGGTGGGGCCCCCGGGCGGCTCAGTCGATTGAGCATCTGACTTCAACTCAGGTCATGATCTCGCTGTGCTGTGCGTGGGTTCGAGCCCCGCGTCGGGCTCTGTGCTGATGCTGACAGCTCGGAGCCTGGAGCCTGCTTTGGATTCTGTATCTCCGGGTCTCCGCCCCTCCCCTGCTGACACCCAGTCTCTCTCTCAAAAATAAATAAACATTTAAAAAATTAAAAAAAAAAAAAAAGAGAGAGATTGCTGCCACTATCCAAAGTGGTTGAACCAAGTTTCAGTCTTGTGGACACCCTTAAATATTTTCAGTCTGAAGACTCATGTCTTTCTTCTGATCTTAGGAATCCCTATCTATTTCTTGTTTGATAGGATTCATCCATTCTTTCATTTAGTAAATTGTTATTTTTTAAATTCTAAATACATTTTATTATTTCACTATTTTTAGCTTCAGAACCAAGTAGTGTGCTAGCTTTCTTTTTTCTTGTTTTGCATGATTTATTATTTTTTTTCAGGAATAGAATTTAGTGATTCATCACTTACATACAACACCCAGTGCTCATCCCGTCAGGTGCCCTCCTCAATGCCCACCACCCATTTAGCCCATCCCCTCATCCACCTCCCCTCCAGCAGCCCTCAGTTTGTTCTCTGTATATAAGAGTCTCTTATGGTTTGTCTCCCTCTGTTTTTTCTTATGTTTCCTTCCCTTCCCCTATGTTCATCTGTTGTGTTTCTTAAATTCCACATATGAGTGCAATCATGTGATATTTATCTTTTTCTGACTTATTTCGCTTAGCATAATACATTCTAGTTCTCTCCACGCTGTTGCATATGGCACGATTTCATTCTTTTTAATCACTGAGTAGTATTCCGTTGTATATATATACACCACATCTTCTTTATCCATCTGTCAGTCAATGGACATTTGGGCTCTTTCCATAATTTGGTTATTGTTGATAGTGCTGCTATAAACATTGGGTGCATGTGCTCTTCGAATCAGCATTTTTATATTCTTTGGATAAATACCTAATAGTGCAACTGCTGGGTCATAGGGTAGTTCTTTTTTTTTTTTTTCTTTTTTATGTTTTATTTATTTCTGAGAGAGAGAGAGAGAGAGAGAGAGAGAGAGAGACAGTGTGAGCAGGGGAGGGTCAGAGAGAGAGGGAGACACAGAATCGGAAGCAGGCTCCAGGCCCTGAGCTAGCTGTCAGCACAGAGCCCGACGTGGGGCTAAAACCCACGAACAGTGAGATCATGACCTGAGCCGAAGTCGGACGCTTAACTGACTGCGCCCCCCTCCCTCACCGCCCCGGCGCCCTGAGTAGTTCTATTTTTAATGTTTTGAGGAACCTCCGTACTGTTTCCCAGAGTGGTCGCACCAGTTTGCGTTCCCATCAGCCGTACAGAAGAGAGCCTCTTTCTCCACATCCTCGCCAACATCTGAGTTGTTCATTTTAGCCACTCTGACGGGTATGAGGTGGTATCTCACTGTGGTTTTGATTTGTGTTTCCCTGATGATGAGTGATGTTGAGCATCTTTTTTTGTCTGTTGGCCTTCTGGATGTCTTCTTTAGAAAAGTGTCTATTCATGTCTTTTGCCCATTGCTTCACTGGGTGTTACTTGTTTTTTGGGTGTTGCATTTCATTTAGTAAATTGTGATGAAGGGCATCCATATTGTAGGCATTAGGGATACCAGGGCAGAATCCGAGAGCACAGACAGGAGGGAACAGACAATAATTAGGTAAGTAAGTATATGCTATAAAGATTTATGGGATAGTCATATTCACCTATAATTAAATTATAATTCCAGTGAGAGATGACTTCTGTGAGGAAAATAAGACTATGGAGGTACAAGTATTGCACTCCTCCATTTTCTCCATCCTTCTAGAAATCTCTTGGGTTCGATTTTTGGATTCTGTACCTGTCCTCACGTCTCTTTTCTTTCACATACTTCTATTTTAATAGAGGAGTTTTTTAAAAAAAAATTTAACTTATTACGACAATTGTTTAAGCTTATTTACTCAGAGAGAGAGAGAGAGCAAAAGAGCCAGGGAGCAGGAGAGAGACAGAGAGAGGGGGAGAAAGAGAATCTCAAGTGCAGAGCCCTATGTGGGGCTTGATCTTACAACTGGGAGATCATGACCTGAGCCAAAATCAAAGCCAGACATCCAATGCACAGAGCCACCCAGGCACCTTCAGTATATATGTATGTATGTTTAAAGTTTATTGATTTTTGAGAGAGAGAGAGAGAGAGCAAGCCGGGGAGGGGCAGAGAGAGAGGGAGACCCAGAATCCGAAGCAGGCTCTAGGCCTGAACTCACAAACCACGAGATCATGACCTGAGCCAAAGTCAGACGCTTAACCGACTGAGCCACCCAAGCACTCCTGTATTTTTTTTTTAAATATTTTATTTATTTTTGAGAGAGAGAGAGAGACAGCATGAGCAGGGGAGGATCAGAGAGAGAGGGAGGCACAGAATCTGAAACAGGCTCCAGGCTCTGAGCTGTCAGCACAGAGCCCGACGCGGGGCTCGAACCCACGAACCGCGAGATCATGACCTGAGCCGAAGTTGGACGCTCAACCGACTGAGCCACCCAGGCGCCCCTATTTTTTTTTTTTTAAACAAGCAATTTATACATGTCCATCTCTGGTTTATTTATTTCTTTACTTTATGGGGGAAATGGCAGTATAGCCTTTTGTGTCTCCTGAAAAACGCTATTGTCATTTCTCAGTCTGGTTCTGCTTTTCCAATAGCTCTGTTTTCCCAGGTGGGGAGTTCTTCCCTTCCTCGGGGATGCTTGCCCTTCCTTCTCGAAGGGAGGGAAGTCACTTTCCCGAAGGGAGGGGAGTCCGTGTGGGCAGGCTGTGACTCACGGGCTGTTGGCCTCGGAATGCATTCTGGCCTGTTCTCTGCAAACGTGCGCGGCAGAAGTGGCCTTTGTGCTGGGATGGCACACGCTACAGGGAAGACTTGGGGTGGGGGTCGGTGCCCCCCGGGCCTCACAGGCAGTGGAAGACACAGGGGCTGCTGTTGGGGTCCCTCCTGAGAGTCGGTGAGCCCCCCAACTAGGCTGCTGCACCTTCCAGGGGAAATGGGGCAGGGAAGGTCATGGAGAAGTCAGAAGAGCGGCTCTAAAGACCATACACAATAAGGAATTTTGAAGACTCAACTTTGTTTTAAAAAATAAACCTTATGATTTACAGAAATACTGGAAACCTAGTATCAAGAATTCACATGGCTTCCACACCCAATATCTTTTAAGATCTTATAATAGTATGATGCCTTTGTTATCATTAAAGAATCACTACTGATATATTCTTTTTTTGCAGTTTATTTTGAAAGAGAAGAAGTGGGTGACGGGCAAAGAGAGAGAGAGAATCCAAAGCAGGCTCCACACCATCGGTGCAGAGCCTGATGCAGGGCTTGAACTCACGAACCGTGAGCTGAAATCATGAGTCAGACGTTTAACCGACTGGGTCCCCCAGGCGCCCCCTGAAACATGATTATTAACTGAAGCTCATAGTTTATTCAGATTCTCTAAGTTTTTACCTAACGCCCCTCTCCCACCCAGGGCACCCCCTTCCCGACGAATATGTCTTCTCTTCGGTTGCTGGGACCAGGAGCATGATGGGGAGGCTCCCGCGTGTGCTAGGAGCAAGGTTGCCGTCGCGAGGGCAGTTTCTGTGGTTCTGGTGGCCTCGGGGACTTGGGAATTACTCGGCCAGGGCGTCAGATTGGGAGTCATGCTCTCAAGTCTCTGTCCAGGTGCCCTGTGACTTGTCTCCACTTTGGCGTATCAAATTTTGATCAAATTTTGGCTATCAAATAGGGGCACTGGGCTAGTTGCGTCTGCACAGGTTGCGTCCTGGGCTGGATGTACGAATGAGGTTTTCCGATCCCTGGCCCAGGGTGGAGGGAGCCGGCAGGCATGACGGCGTCCCGGAGGGCAGAGCCGGGACCCAGATCTCCCTGCGAGCGACACGGGGGCTGAGACTCTGACGTTGTTGAAGATCAGGGACCTGTCCCTGCTTTGCTGCTGCTTCTTGCGTACTTCGGCAAGGCCCTCTTCAGCTCTGAGCCTCGGTTTACCCATTCGTAAAGGGCCAGCTGGTGGGACAGTCCCTCTGGCTGAGAAAAGAACAGGTGGCCGTGGGGATCGGTGAGTCCTCTGTTTTTGAGGGTGTGCAAGCTGGGCCGGGCGCCCCTGGTGGGTGCTGCAAGGGCAGCTCTGATGGCTTCCTGTCGGATGGGGACCCCTCCTCTGTGCCTGTTCACCTCCCCACCCCTGACCCCGGGAAGGCGGCCAGAGGCTGCAGGACGCCCCTCCACCCCTGCTTTCCTTTCCAGCTCCTGCCACAACTGCCTTCGGCTCTGGGCTAAGGGAGGTCTGCCGAGTGCACCGCATCCCCGCGCCACGGACTTCCCGGAGACGGGAGGGAAACCCACCATTCTCACCTCCCCGCCTTGTGGCACCTTCAGCTGCCAGGCCAGCCGGTACCCAGGCAGCTCCCAGCTCAGGCCAGGCCCTGGTCCTCAGGTCGGCAGCCACTCCCTCCAAGGCTCTGGGGGAGTGAGAGGAAGAAGAGAGAGCAATCCCTGAAAAGCGGAAAATGAAGAGCCCCATGCCCCCCCCAACCTTGAACTCTCTATTTTAACAATGTCAGGGTTCTTGCGGCTCCTGAGCCTTCGCACCTGCTGTTCCCTCCACCACCAGTGCCCTTCCCCTTTCCTAGCTGTTGACTCCTATGCATCCTTTAAGGCCCAATGCAAAAGACCCCTCTTCCGGACCCTAGCTAGCTAGCTGTCGCTACCTGTGTCATGGCATGTTTCACCCTGACTCATAATAGGCCTCTTCCGGGCCTGCGGCCCTGTGTCCCTCGGCTTTCCTGAAGGCAGGGGTGGGGCTGACTCACCCGAATGAAGTCGCCACAAACACATCGTCTGCTCATTGCGTTATTGCGTGAAAAGGCTGAGTCGGGACTCCGTAGGCGAGGGACAATCGCTGGGGTCAATCCTTCCCGAGCACCTTCCGTTTACTGGCTCTGTGGCATCCATCTAAATCTCTAGGCTCCTGGCTCCCGACCCCACCCGGAGGGGGCGCTGTCACGCGCCGGTCGGTGGGGACAGGGGCCGCGGAGAGAGCGGGCGCCCCGCGGGGTGGGGCCTGCGTGAAACCCGACGACCCGCCCCGGGCGAGCCAGGCGGCGGCCCGCGGTGGGGCAGCGAGCGCGTGGGGCAGGTCCCCGCACCACCCGGCGGCCGGGACTCCCGCGGGTCGCGCGCGGATAGTCCCATTTCGAACCGACGTAACCCGGGCTCCGGGAGCCGGCGCCCCCCGGCTCAGCTCTGGACAGCGCCCCAGCCCCGCGGTGCCCGCGCCCTCGCGCCTCCCGGGCGCAGCTGGCCCCGCCCCCGGCCCCGCCCCCGGGCCCGCGGTGCCCGCGCCCTCGCGCCTCCCGGACGCAGCTGGCCCCGCCCCTTGCCCCGCCCCCGGCCCCGCCCCGCCCCGAGTGGCAATCTGGTCCCCGCGCCGCGGCGCCGGCGGGCAGACAGGTGGAACGGAGCCGCGCTCTGTGCTGCGCTCCGGACCCACCATGGGCAACTGCGAGGGTCGCACCGATTTCGAGTGGGTCTACACGGACCAGCCGCACACGCAGCGGCGCAAAGAGATGCTCGGTGAGCGCAGCTCGGTCCCTCCCGCGCGTGGGGACAGCCCCGCGGGGCGGGCAGGAGGCGCGGGCTGGGGGAGCCCCGGGATTGCTCCCGCACCGGCCCGGGTCTCCTCGGCCCCCGCTTTGGGGAGGGTGGGAGCGCCATCTCGCCTCCTCGAGGGGCCCCTGCCCCGGGGCTCTGACGGCGCCCCCCTGCCCGGGTCCGGAACTCCCCTGGCGTGTCTGCCTCCGTCCTGGGATCCAGGATCCGAGGACCTGAGCCCGGATCCGGGTGCCTGGGGAGCGCGTCTCCACTGCCGCATCCCGGCTGTGGGGCGCCAGTCACTCGCTGAGCGGGGACTGGGCGTGAACTTGGGGCGCGGGGACCCTGAGTGTGCGGCATGCGCCGTCCTGCCCGCGAAGGCCCACGTCCTGGGTCCGTAGAGGCCGCTGAGCTGGGGGAGTTTGGCGCAGGGTGAGCGCCTGGAGGGAAGCAGATGCGGAGCGAGACACACTTGGAAAAAAAAAAAAAAAGATTATACGAAAGAAGCCCGTTTGCCCCATTCTATCCTGTGTTTTATAGCTTAACAACGGTGGCTGCCCTTCGCTGTCATTTAGTGTCCTACGAAGTCATTTTTACCAATGTAGACGCCCTCATTCAAGCCAGCGACCCCTTCAAGCCAGCGACACCTGGGATGTTGGGCCCCTTTCCTGGGGATTACAGGTTCAAGGGCTCACACCTGCAAGCAGTTTTCAGGTTAAAGCGCTCTCACCTGCACGGTGGTTTTCACTAGATGCCACCCAGTCACCTCCACGGCGCCAGGCCGGAGTCCAGCAGCGTGGACTTGCCCCCCTCCCTTCCAAGAAATGTCCAGGTCACGGTTTCCCCACGCCCTCGCCTACACCTGCGGTTGGCAAAGCTTTTAATCAGATCGACCAGGTGACACATACTATTTCATTGTGTTTAATTTGCAAGTTTTTGGATGATTGTTTCCAACATTTAAGTGGACATTTTCATTTCTTTTTTTCTCTTGGGATGGTCTTTTGCTTGTCCACTGTTAGAGTTCTTTGTATTGGAGGCTTTTAACTCTTTGGCTCACATGTTGGGAATATTTTTTTCCCTTTAACAATTTGTTTTTTTGCTATTGTGGAAGCTTCTTTCTTTTCTTTTCCTTTCTCTCTCTTTTTCTTTCTTTCTTTCTTTCTTTCTTTCTTTCTTTCTTTCTTTCTTTCTTTCTTTCTTTCTTTCTTTTCTTTTCTTTCTTTCTTTCTTTCAATATATTCAAATGGATTGGCTTTTTTTCTTTAGAGTTTTCTGCTTGGTGTCTTCCTGCTCTGCTCCGAGACTATGGAAATATCTGTCTTATTACATTTAAAGCTTTCAGACACCCGGTGCACGGAGTGGTTAGTGCACAGAGACAGCCGTACACTGTCTGCTGTGGCTGGGGGTACATGGGCTGGAGACCCTTGGGTGGGTGGGTTTGTGGCTTTCGTGGTTTTCTGCTGTGAGGTGAACAATAGCCCAGCACTAGTGTGGTTTTACCTGTGGCAGTATCCTCTCCCACACCTGTGGGCTGCTTTGGGTGGCTCAGAGGGGTCTTGGTGATCATCTGGTCCTGCGTCTCCCTAGAGGACAGGCATCTTCACTCCTATAGCAGGGCCGAGGCAGGGCTCCGTTTCCTTTCCTTTCCCCACCTGTCCCCTACCTTGCCCTTACAGGATTCACTGGGCACCTGGCCCCAGGTGGAGAAGGCTAGGAGACATATCCTGGCCCACAGAGCCACCTGGAGGGGTCCAGACACTCTGGGCTGGAGACTCACTTTCTGAATCTGCAAAATGGGCACAGTCTTGTCTGGCGGAGAGGGTGCGATGTTAAAAGGAGATCTTAGATATTAAAAGCAGCCCAGTGTGGTAGCCAGCACTCCAGGACATGAGAGAGAGGAGCCACCGGCCTGGAGCCCTGAGAGGGAGCTTCCTGGGCAAAGTGGTGAGGAAGGCTGGGAGACTTGGAAGAGAGGAGGTGGTCTGGGCCTACGCAGGGACAGAACCAGGGCTCAGGGGCTGACTCTCCAGGGAGCTTCGCTCGTTCCCAGTTTGCATGGGTGCTGTGGATTCCTCTGTACCGTTTCCTCCAGGCACTGCCTAGTTTTGAACCCATGAACTTGGAAGATGCCATTTTCCCTCAATCACAGGCATTTGACAGTTCCTGCCCTGCCTAGATGTCCTTCCTTCCTGCTCTGCCCTTTGTTGCTCTTTGACTTTTTATTTTGTTTTGCTGAAGTGTAATTGAAGTACAATATTATGTTAGTAAGTTTCAGGTGTGCAACATAGTGATTCAACTTTTGTATGCGCCTGGGATTACCACCTCAGTAAACCTACTTCCTATTTTTGCTACAGTTTTGTTGACTACAGTTTCTGTGCTGTACATTTCATCCCCATCACTTATTTACTTTATAACTGGAAGTTGTACTTCTTGATTCCTTTCACCCATTTCCCCATACCCCTCCCCATCTGGCAACCACTGATCTCTATCTATCAATCTGGGGTCTGTTTTGTTTTGTCTTTTAGATTCCCCATCTAAGTGGAATCACGTGGTATTTGTCTTTGTCTGACTTATTTCACTAATCCCCTCTGTTGTAGCCATCATGTCACAAAATTCCATTCTTTTTTTTTTTTTTTTTAATGTTTATTATTTTCGAGAGTGGGGAGAGAGAGCGAGAGAGAAAGCGAGAGCTGGTGCACAAGCTGGGAAGGGGGAGAGAGAGGAGGAGACACAATCTTTTTTAATGTTTGTTTTAGAGAGAGAGAGAGAGAGAGAGAAAGAGAGACAGCGCTTGAGTGGGGGAAGGGCAGAGAGAGAGGGAGAGAGAGAAATCCAAGCAGGGGACGCGGGGCTCAAACTCCCGAACCATGAGATCATGACCTGAGCCAAAGTCAGACCCTTAACTGACTGAGCCACCCAGGCACCCCAAAGTTTCGTTCTTTTATGTGGCTGAGTTGTATTTGATCGTATATATAACACACCTGCTTCATCCATTCATGTGTTGACGGACATGTTGTTTTCATATCTTTTTTTTTTTTTTTCAGTGCAAAAAGGTGGTTTTATTAAAGCACGGGGATAGGACCTGTGGGCAGAAAGAGCTGCGCGTTGTTTACGTAGCTTGGTTATTGTAATAATGCTGCAACGAACAGCGTAGTGCATTTATCTTTTTGTGTTTTCATTGTCTTTGGATAAATAAATACTGAGCTGTGGAATTACTGGATCATATAGTAGTTCTAGTTTTAATATTCTGAGGGCTCTCCATGCTGTTTCCCACGGTGGCCACAGCAGTTTGTGTTCCCACCAGCAGTGCACGACGCCCCCTTTGCTCACGCCCTCCCACCACTTGTCGTTTCTTGTGTTGTTGGATTCCGACAGAAGTGAGGTGATTTCTCTTTGTAGCTTCGATTTGCATTTCCATGATGAGGAGTGACGTTGAGCATCTTTTCATCTGTCTGTTGGCCATCTGGATGTCTTCTTTGGAGAAACGTCTATTCATTCAAGCGCTCTGCCCATTTTTAACCAAATTTTGTTTGCTCTTGAGTTGTATCAGTTCTTTATATACTTTGGATATTAACCCCTTGTGGGATATGTGATTTGTAAATATCTTCTTCCATTCCGTAGATGCCTTTTTGTTTCGTAGATGGTTTCCTCCGCTGTGCAGAAGCTTTTTAGCACGCTGCAATCCCGTTTGTTTTATTTTTGTGTGTGTTGCCTTTACTGCTGGTGTGAAATCCAAAAAAATCATCGCCCAGATCAATGTCAGGGAGCTCACTGCCTATATTTTTTCTAGGAGTTTTTGGAGAGCTGGGCTTACCTTCAAGTCTTTAATCCATTTTGAGTTTATTTTTCTGCATCGTGTAAGAAAGTGGTCCCGTTTCATTGTTTTGCGTGTTGGCCAGTGTCCCCAGTATCAGTCACTGAAGAGACCTTCTTTTCCCCATTGCATATACTTGCCTCCTTTGTCATAAATTAATTGACCATATGCGCGTGGGTTTATTTCTGAGCTCTCTATTCTGTTCCATTGATCTGTGTGTCTATTTTTATGCTAATTTATACTGTTTTGATTACCACGGCTTTGCAGTATGGTTTGAAATCCAGGAACATGATAATATTTTTTTTACTTTTTTAATGTTTTTATTTATTTTTGAGAGAGACAGAAAGACAGAGTGCATGTAGGGGAGGGGCAGAGAGAAAGGGAGACACAGAATCCAAAGTGGGCTCCAGGCTCCGAACTGTCAGCACAGAGCCTGATGCGCGGCTCAAACTCCCGAACGCGAGATCATGACCTGAGCCGAAGTCCGACGCCCAACCGACTGAGCCGCCCAGGAGCGTGATACTTCTAACTTTGTTCTTTTGTTTCTCTAGATTGCTCTGGCCATTCAGAGTCTTTTGTGCTTCCATAGATCCTTTTTTTTTTTTTCCTGTGTGCTTTATTTTTATTTATTAACATAATATATTGTCAAGTTGGCTAACATGCAGTGTACACAGTTCGCTCTTGGTTTTGGGGGTAGACTCCCGTGATTCATCGCTTACATACAACACCCAGTGCTCATCCCAGCAAGTGCCCTCCTCCGTGCCCATCCCCCATTTCCCCCTCTCGCCCCCCCCATCCACCCTCAGTTTGTGCTCTGTATTTAAAGGTCCTTTATGGTTTGCCTCCCTCCCTCTCTGTTTGAAACTCTTTTCCTCCTTCCCTTCTCCCATCATCTTCTATTAAGTTTCTCAAGTTCCACATACGAGTGAAAACATATGCTCTCTGTCCTCCGCCTGACTTATTTCACTTGGCGTAACACCCCCCAGTTCCATCCACGTCGCTGCAAATGGCAGGATTTCACTCTTTCTCGTTGCCAAGTAGTATTCCATTGTGTATATAATCCATAGCCGTTTTAGAACTATTTCTTCTAGTTCTGTGAAAAATGCCCCCGGCATTTTGTTAGGGCTCCTGTTCCTTTCCATTTCCTGCAGGAAGGTCCCCTGGCTGC